TCACGCCGTCTCTCTTCCACCGTCCCGTGCTGCCGCTGCCCGTTCCAATGCTGTACTCAGTCCGTTCCGCATTACCCCCCTACCCAGTGATCTATATCATCCTGCTCTTTCCTATACTGTATCCTGTTTTAGTAACTAATAAACTATAATCGATCCGTTTACTTTGCAACAACACACCAGCGGTGACAGCGAAAAATATGTAAGAATTGATATTACCAAACCTTGTTTTATAATGAGAATGGTTACGAAAATTATCCAGGAATTGGGTTTTTTATTGGTTTACTTCACTTCGTTAAAATGATTCTCAAATATGCAAAACCCAAGGTATCTGATAAAGAGCAATGAAACTAAAGGCAAAGCTAAGTTTTTACGTCTACTTAGTTTAAAAATGTCCAGTTCGAGCTGACAGAATTGCAGAATTTTTATTTACAACAACTAACAAAGCAAGGTAACTGAAACAATCAATATTTTCAGTCCGAAAGATTCCGTAGATATGAAGTAGATCAAGGCGGGCAGCTGATGAAGATTTCGACTTGGAAACTCGTTTGTAAATAGACAAGTCAAACAAAACGCGTAAGACCTGGATAGTGTTGGGAGCACAGCGTGGGATCGCCAATCAGGGCAGTGTTCAGTCGAGTATCGGATGTGCTACAAAGCGATAAGCTGCGGACATCACTGTCTGGTCGGCAGAGGTTTATGATTTGGAGGATTTGGCACGTGAAATAATTTGGCTCGGACGCTAGGAACCTAATAAATTTGAATGAGAACACGACTCGATGAGCTGTTATGGATGTCTCGTCTGGAGGCGGCTGTGAGAGTTACTGATATAAACCTAGAAATTAATCGTCTCTCCAGACGAGACTTGAAGTAATAGGCTTCTTCTCCGCGTCGAGGCTGAACGAGCATCTTTTTGAGCAGTATCAAAAGCTCTTTGACACTTTGTTGCCATCACTTCCTAATCGAGCTTCGAACGTTATCGGTGTAGTTGATTGGCGAAATAGTTAGTGAAATGTCTTCCAGGAAGTACAGGCAAAAGAAACGCCTCCGCTCCTGCTCGAAGTCGTCGCGTGTATGGATCGGGAGTGTTTTCCTTAAAAATTTGCCCTTAATTTCACTAAAAAAGTACAAAAAATTATACTTACGAAAATTGAGTTACTACTCTATTCAAGTGCTTCAAAATCAAATTTATAGTAACAAGATGCAACGAATTGATTAATTGCATACGGATCAGACTTAACAGCGAGTAAAGTCTGCTTTCAGCTCTAAACGACTTCCCAAATTTTTCCGTCTAGAAATTTGCTTTCTTTTTATTTAGCAGAAAGTTTTACACTTGCTATGCGAAAACTGTGGAACAGCAGAACACAAAACGCATACCTGCAGTAAAGCTCTAATTCGATGAACAAGAAAAACAAAATCTGGCCGGTCATCTGGTAGTGAACGCCAGCAACATTGCATCAGATCGTATCTGAAATCATCAAATGTTAGAGCCTATTTCCTGCGAATACTGCAGCTTCGTAATGGAAAGCAAATTGTAAGGTTAAGACAGTATTGGCTTACACAACATCTGGACAATGCATTGGCTGTGGAAGCCTTAAACCGCTTTCAAGGTACTGGCGGACTTTAGCATTAGAAACGTCTCCGTAAGGAGAAGCAGCTCGCGTCATTAACTCCCACATCAGCACACCGAACGACCACTGAAACATAGAGTTAACATTGGTAACATAAGTACTGTGGTTGCTAATTAAAAGCAAAGGAGAGAACTGCGAAAGATCGGCAATGATTTATAGGCTA